ATTTACATGAAAGCCACTGGAAAAACTTACCCCTGCTTCTGTAACATTCAAAGGTCTAGCACGTTGCATTTTGGCCAATATATACATGTTTTGTTTTAAGTGCAAAGCTGTACAATGAGCTATGTACGCTAACCTGCCGCAGGGATAGACTTTTATCACCATAAACCTCAAGTCCAGTTGCATTAACCTTTAGATAGTCATAGAGTCGCTTATTCAGGGACATTTTTATACAGTATTGTTCTATGTTTTTAAAAGTGATATCTCAGCGAAACAATAAAACGATTTTGTCAGAGTTGAACAAAATATTGTTGTTGCTGCTTGAGGTTTAAATTCAATAAAAAAATCAATAATGAGATAAAATGAAAAAAAAAACTGCTAAAAAGCAGTTAAGTTTTATATAGAATTGTCGGATTGTTTTATTTGATTGTTGACAAAGTAAAGAAGAAGCCTCTGAGAAGGAAAGTAAATCGATAATAAAAGTAATTATATTGGGACAACGGGAAATTAACCACCAATTAAATTGTTTAAATACCAAGGGACCAGTGCTGTATCTCTATTATAAGAAATTATGTCACATTTGCCAGCGTAGCAAGAAAAGCTAATTCCAAGATGGGATGCTGAGACTCACATAAGAGCTGGTGCTGAAATCCGGGTGAATGGCACAAGCGGATAAGAATGGAAACATATTACTCCTGGACCGGATGCCAGTCCATCGCAGGTTAACCCCAGCTACCAGCTGGAATCCATTATACAGCTGGGTGGACAAAAACAAATGAAGTGTCTTGTTCAAGGACACAACAACATGTCGCGAGCAAACCTCGAACTCGCAACATTCTGACTAAGAGTAAAGAGGAACAACCACCTGACTACGCTGTCAACAACCTTACACTTTCATAAATAGCAAAAGCACGATAAAAATAATAATGCGATTTACTTTATATTGTTATTCTTTGTTCAGTTTAGAAAAATACGAAACTCGACTCATTTTACCGTATTGCATGCTGTCAATCATTTAATGTCTACAGTATGCGCTTCGAGCACCATTACGAATCTGATTTTCTGTTTGCATCTGAGTATGCATGTTGCAACCATAGATATTATACTTTAATTAATAAATAAGTTTTTAAGTTTTACATAACAGGGTGCTTCTTTAGGTATGTTTATATGTTACTATGTATGCAGGACTCAATCAAAGGTGGTACACATTATTTCATGGGGTAGTTGTATTGTAGCCAATATCACAAGGGCTGGAAAACACCGCGAAATTCCTAGAAATTTGTTATGCGAATGTGAATTGTGAGAGTGACTCTGAGGGATTCCTTTAATTTTTTTTGGAAGAGCTAGGATGTGTTGTTGAAATCATGTTGCTTGTCTGCCTTTTCTTCCAACCTAGAGTTTGTTCGTCTAGTCTGAGTACATAGTTTTATATTAACTGAATAAATAAACCCAGTTTAATATAAATACAGTTTTTTTTTATTTCCATTTCGATGATATACGTTGTTGTATTTTTTACATTTCGTGAGTTTATTTTATCATTGGCTTAATGTAAGGTTTTAAGATTACCTAACCTAAGTTAGTCGTAACTGATAAGACATTATTGGGATTACGGCCGAAAATATCGTTAATAAACTTATGACCCAACGCTACTTAATCATTATATAGGTTTCAGTTTTCTTGTGAACTGGTTATGACATTAAGTATTTCTATTTGGTTTATTATATAAGATAGGTTCTAATAATGCATTGTCACTTTTACGTTTTAAATTAGTTAGATTGTTTTTGATCAGAAGTCCTTAATCATTCAATTAATTTGTATACAATATATATAATTTTCAGTCTACTTCAGCCAATCACATTTTGCCTTTGTTCACCAGTATTACCAGTAAAATATTTATTTATATCTATCCACATCGAGTTTTATCTATTCCAGTTAACTGGCGACAAATCTCTACGCTTGTGCTATCGCATAATATCTTTTGTTATTGCGGTGATCAGATAACTGAGTTTTCTTTTATTCCGAATATATCATCCGCGCAGAATAACAAAATAAACGTTTAATTTAATCACAGAAGTGTCATTTCTGAGACATAAAGGTTACTCAGGTGTACATCATGTCAGCATCTCTTTCATCTCCTATAGAGAGAATGATACCCCTGAAAACTACTTAATTTCAAAATGATGAACAACACTTGTCAATACAAACTAAATGCCAAACTACATTTCAGTATCATTTCCTATTAGTAACAGAGAAAATAAAGTAGTTGACTATATAAAACTGAAATGTTCAAAAATCAAAGGGCGATTTAAAAAAGAATTAGGTCTATGAAATTATACTTAAAGTATATAGTTTCGATAAGGCCCCCCAATAGAACAGCGATATGTCCTCAGACTTACAACGCTAGAAACTGGGTTTAGATATCCGTGGTGAACAGAGCACAGATAGTCCATCGTGTAGCTTTGTACTTAATTACAAACAAACAAACTTTTGATAGGTTATCTTTTATAAAAAGAGATTAAGAATTGCACCAGCAAGCCTAAATTTTTGCAAACTTTTTTGTGCGTAAGTTATGAAACTAAACGTTGAATCAGGCATTAATATTTATTAATATATATACAAAAAGTATTACAGTAATCCATGCCAGATTTCGTAGTGGGCATTCACAAATAAAGTTAATGTACTTGTTATCATATATGAAATAGATACAATTTATAATTTTAAGGATTATTAAGGGTAAGTAAAAACGCTGAAGTAAGAACGCTTATCGGCACATATAGAGCAAAAACATTTTCGATGAGAGTTTGAAGTAAGATGTTTGAACAACTCATCTAACACAATTTTTTGGACGCTTTTTATAATACACTTCTTAAAAAATATATTATTTTTTGCTACTGGATTGTAAAGGTTTTCCGAAATAACGTCTTCTACGATCGTTCTGAACTAATTTCACCTGAATCGTGCGTGCAGCAGCCGTGAGAGATATTATCCACCTGTTTCACCAAGCCATGTGTGTGTTCATTCCCACCATTATGTTCTGGTTTGAAATAATCATACCTAACCATCCATAGCTAGAAGCCTAAGTCTACCGGACCTGACCTCACCTGTACGGGGTGTATAAGCAGCGAATGGCAAGAAACACTGGGGGTGGTGTCTGAGTTACCCATGGCAGCTGTAAACGTTCTTTTACTCGCCAGGTCAACTTGCATCTGGCTAACCTCGAGGCACATAAAGCACTGGATTTACAACAGACTGGGGCCTTGGTTAGGTTTAAGAAGGAAACCTGCTAAAATCTTTGAATACAAAGTCAAAATTCAGGTCGATTTTCATAGCAGTACGCATAGTATTTCTGAGTAATGTGGATTTAGCCCTAAGCATGCGTATAGACAAGTCTTAACATAGTGACCGTGATTGTGAGGCGACCAGCATTCTCTTCGTGCAGCTGAGACAGTAAGCTCGTTTGCGGAGAAATGTTTTCCGAGACAGTTGCAAAGCTATATTGAGCACCTTTGTTGTGTAATATTAATTTCAAAGAGTGACATTCAAGGGAATTTAGAGACCGATTAGTTCCGTCTATTTAATGAAATTAATGTACCCTAGTCTAAATATTGAAATTGATTGATTCTGATCAGTGAAGGGTATTATTCCTTCAGTTAGAGAGAAGGAAAGAAGTCTGTAAGGCTGTAACTAAATACTCAGGTGAGAAATAACACATAAAAACGACGTACACCTTAGGAGAGCCAGTTTTTGTTCAACGCATATCCCAAGTTTTTATGTCGGATGGGTAAGTATGGTTATACTAATTGGTTTTAATAATTAATTTGTTAACGAGCTTCCCAAGTGTTGATAATTATATAACTTATAACAGCAGTGTTCATTTAGAGACCAAGAAGGTGTAATTATTAGCAACTAAAACTCTTGTTTCAAGTTAGTTAATTTGAATATTTATATAGCTTTACTCATGGAGTAAATGTAATTAGTAAATTGTTCCAATACGAGTTGTATTCAGTTTTACAAAAACCATCCAAAACTCAATACATTGTTTATTGCACGTACGTTATCATCATGACGTAGAAAAGCACGTGAGTTGTGTATCGTCTGCTGTCTAATAGCGGTTATGAAACAATTGTTATTATTTTTCTAAAAGTATCTCATTTTGTTAACCATTAAATCATCGTGGAAGTACTACTACAGGATTCACGATGTTCGTTAACCAATAAATCATTGTTGAAGTACTACCACATGATTCACGATGTTTGTTGATCATTAAATCATTGTTGAAGTACTACTACAGGATTCACGATATTCGTTTACCTATAAATCATTGTTGAAGTACTACTATAGGATTCACGATGTTCGTTTACCAATAAATCATTGTTGAAGTACTATCACATGATTCACGATATTTGTTGATCATTAAATCATTGTTGAAGTACTACTACAGGATTCACGATGTTCGTTAACCAATAAATCATTGTTGAAGTACTACCACATGATTCACGATGTTTGTTGATCATTAAATCATTGTTGAAGTACTACTACAGGATTCACGATATTCGTTTACCTATAAATCATTGTTGAAGTACTACTATAGGATTCACGATGTTCGTTTACCAATAAATCATTGTTGAAGTACTACCACATGATTCACGATGTTTGTTAACCATTAAATCATTGTTGAAGTACTACTATGTGATTCACGATGTGTAAAAAAAAAAATCTCAGTTTTTGTTGTTAACCGTTAGGGATAGCTTCGAATCAGTGCAAAATTTAAAAACTAATGTAAAGCTCAATTTAAGTAAGGACACACACACCTGTATGATATCAATATACAGTGTCATTATATCAGACATCAAAGATTTAAATCGTCTATGGCGTATAGACGAATACTTCTGCTGACTTTTCGAGTGAAGACAACTTTTCTTAGTGAATAGCGAAATAAGCTAAATTAAGTGATTTTGTTTGAATTTGCACAATATGTACGAATACCAGCTGATAAACCCGTTCAATGCATGATGAAGATAT